CGGGTCTCTCCGGCTGCGGGGACCGTGGCTGAGCCTTGGGCCTGCTCCGAGCCCAGGTAACGCGGCTGCAGCCCCTCGCAGCACCGCGATGCTGAGAAACGGAGGCGGGAAGCGGCTCCGGGCGCTTTAGCCCGGGGCCCGTTTTGCCGTGGCCTGACGCGGTGGCTGGAGGGCGGGCTCGCAGCCTGAGCCCCGTGGCGACGGCCTCAATCCCTGAGGGCTGTTTGCAAACCCCTCGCTAGGGGCTTCTTCCCCTCAGGTGGGTTCGCAGCCCTGAAACGGGCCCTGGGCTGGGGCAGCTGCCTCCTGGGTAAAGGACCGTGGTGCGTTGAGATGTGGGGCTTCAAACGCAGCCTGACGGGGTGAAACGGTGGGTTTCACGGTGAGGGGCTTCAAACGCAGCCTGATGGGGTGAAACGGTGGGTTTCACGGTGAAATAGGGCCTGGAGCGCTGTGCCGGGGTCACGCCAGCACGGGCCAGGCTGCCTGCGGCAGTGTGAGGTGTTTGTTCACCCCCGCTGCCCAAAACCTGATCAAGCGTGCGTCTTGATTTTGGGGCTATGAAAAGCTCTGTTGGTTCTTCTCAAACCAAATCCGCTTCCTAGGAAAATGAGGGAAGAAAACCAGGCGAAACCTGGCTTGAGTAACAGAAAAGGTATGAAGCTACTATTTTTATACAGCGCCTTTTTTTAAACTAGAGGAACCTCAACTTAATATAACAATAAGTTGAGGTTATACTGGCTAAAAATAACTTCCTTTTCCTTGAACAGCTATTCTTAGAAAGTCCCATCTTCTAAAAGTCATTTACAGGGTATGGGATGTCAGGGCTGTTTATTTTGGGCTGTTGGAAGGGAGGCGGGTCCGGGCCCTCGGAGCAGAGGGAGAAAAGCTGCTGCTCCAGCGCCTCGTTCCTCCTTTTGCTGCAGGGTCGGGGTGGTCTGCGGAGCTCTCTGCGTGCTCGCCTCTTGCCTGCGTAGAGTTAAAGGCTTTGTCTCCCAGTTTGAGTATTACGGCTGGAACAATTGCCTCTGTCCTGCACTCGGGATGAGGAATTCGGTGGTGGTGGTTCTGTGCTGCGGAGGAGCACATGTGAGCGCCGAGTGAGGAGCACCAGAGAGGAAGGAGAAGCTGTAGATCCAGAATTTAAGAGTGTCCACTTAACCCTGCTCAGGGAAGGGCGAGGATGACTGCTGCTCTGTGCTGAAGGAGTTTGTGTGGTGGGAGAGTTTCCTACTGGGCTGTGGTGGCAGGACCATACCTATAGAGAGGCCCTTTGTAGTGGTGCAATTTATGTATTAACCCCCAAAAAGCATCTGGGAAATTTGGTTTATCATCCCTATGGAAGGAAGGGGTGGAAAGCTTTGGGTTGCAGGACAATAAAGAAGCTGCCAGGCCCAGTTAAATGAGTCGCCTGGTTAGTGCTGTTTAAGCAGCAGCTGGTGCTGACTGCCCAGCAGAAGGCACTGGAAGTACCGCAGCGCCTTGTCTTGGGGCTTCCTCAGCCTTGGGGAAGCTTCTCCTGCTTATTCCTGATCGCCCATCTTGGGTCTTGAGGCGCGTGGATCGGCTGGCTTCGGGCTTATCTGCTGACGTAACTCAGAATATCTTTTTTTGTGTCTCTGATGCTGTTGGGTTTTTTTCTGCTTTCTGATCCCGTTAGGATTTGGAGTAAGTAACACCCGTAGCTTATGAAGCTCCTGTGGTGTGTTGTGATAAGGGGTTGTCTCAAGTTGGCCAGGGCCGTCTCTAATGACGTTGCCAGATGGCAAGAAGGAGCAGATCTTCCCTGCACCCTCCTTTGGGCTGTCCCTTGCCGCTGCCCCAAACCCCTCCGTTCTCTCACCTTCCGACCTCCGATTTCTCATCTCGGGGCGCCGCTTCCTCTCTCCGACACAAAGGCCCGTGTGGGTGGGAGGGTCCTTGGTCCCAGGCGGTGGGTGCTGTTGCTGTATTGCCTGGTGCCCCTCAGGCTGTGCTGGGTGGGTGCCCTAAAACTGAGGCCCTTTTGGGGAGGTGGTAACTGTGGGGCGCTCCTTTAGGACGTGCTCGGTGCTGGGTTTCCCACGCTGCAGCTAGGCCAGGACTGCGTCGGTCTGGTTGGAGTTACTCCCCTCCAGCCTTGTCTGGCCTCAATGTTTTTGGCAAGAAATGAACAACTGCATGGAGGAAAAGGCGCTGAGCACATCTGTGATGGAATCGTGTCAGCATTTTAAAGCTAATTTGGATTAGAGGGAGGTGTGACGTTATTCCGAAATACCTATTGCACTGGCTGTTGGATCAGTCTTATTCTGGGATAGGAATGCTTGTTCCAATTTAGCTTAATCCTTTTTCAAAGCTAACTAATCTAAACCAGGCCAAGGCACTCTTCTGGAACGTGCCAAAGTGTAGTTACTGAAAAGAAACCTGATGTGCCGAGAAACCCGCCGTCCGTTTCTCTCTGGATGGGGCTGGGCTGCCCCGTGCAGGAACCCCCCGGGGCCGTGGCTCATTTATGTCACCGAGAGGAGTGGACCCAGAAGGAGAATTAGGGTTTTAGTTAGGCAGTCCCTTTCATCAAAGGAATTCGGGTGGTTTTTTGAGAGCGAGGGGACCAGATCCTCCTTCTGCCTCCCACCAGCGGTGGTGCGAGCGGCTCTGCGCACCAGGGGGAGGCTGGTCCTGTGGGACAGGGGGGGAGGGTTCCCCGGCTGGCTCGCCACGAAGCTCGGCGAGCGCTGGTGTTGGCACAGAAGGTGATGGATGTGGGGGAGAGCAGGGTTAGGCTTTAGAGCCACGCCGTGGTTACGTGGGATTGCAGCGTGCCCGTAAGGTGAAGGCACACGGTGCTGCTAACCAGGTACGGCCCTAGGGAGGAGAAATTCCTGCACCTCGCTTCTAGTGGAAGAATGTCGCAGTGGAGAGAAAGAATTTTGCCTCCTGCCTTTAAAGAAAAGGTTGATGTAATGGTGATTCTGCCGGCAAAACTGCCGCTGGGTGTTTTGAAGTGCCTCGAGGCTGCGGGCTCTGGGCTGTGCCTGGCCCAGCTCGCTGCGGTTGCTGCAGCGGGCCCGGCGGAGCGATAAATCACCGGGACGCTCGGTGGGAGCTCGGTCCCAAGCCAAGTGGATGGGTGGAAGAGCAAGATGCCTTTTGGTGAGCCGCTGCTTGGCAGCGAGTCCTTTTCTGCGGGGGGTCGAACAGCGGGTGCCGGGGGTTCACCCGGCTGAAAGGAACCCTCTGGAGCTCAGTCACCATAACCTTTACCTCCCCGCTGGCTCTTTCGAGAAACTTGGGGGTGTGAAACGGTGGCGTTGCTGTGCTCCCGGTCTCTTCATGACTGTTCACTCCCCTCTGGGAGGGGGAGAGCGAAAGGGTCGGTGCTGAGGGTGCTGACACCGCGAAGAACACGGGCTTCACCGCAGCCGCGCGGCAGTGGACACGAGTCGCTGTGAAACGCGATGCCCAGAGCTGCGGCCGGGTGGGCTGGCTGGGGAGGGCGAGGGGAGAATGTAGATGACGCACTTGGTTTTTAAAAAAAGCGGATAGTGTCGACAGAAACTCGATCTTGATGAAGGGCGGTAGGAAAGCATTCGATTCCAGCCGCGTCTTGGGCTCAGTTACAGTTGGTTTTGGCTCCGATTCTTCCCTTTGCCTTCTTTGGGGGGTCGCCTGGCATCTTCAGAGCCGTGTTGCTGACACTTCTCTAATGACATCCTTCCCCTTAACTATCACGATTCTGCGCTGGGCAACTGGAGGCTCCTCGGCGCAGCCATCTTCGGGAGGGAGGGCTGGTGACGGTGAACAGCCGCGGCTGCTCCTCAGCGCCGCTTGGGCTTACTCTTGAACGCTTCCTTCTTTACGGAGCGTGCCGTGAACGGTGTGTGGTCTGCCTGGACAGATGGCTTAGCTCTGAGACTTTGTGGGTTAAGAGCACGTTGCCTTAAAGCGGGTTGGACTCGTAAAAGCCAAGTCCAGGTGATCCCCTTAGGGGGTGTTTTATAGCGCGTCCACGTGGGCTTTGCCTCGCAGCTGCGCCAGGAAAACACCTTGGCCACGAGGTTTTGTTACAGTTTAAGGGCTTATAACTTTCTGCTGGCTTTGTTCCTGTTCTGCAGAGTTTAATATCACCTGTTGACACAGGGACTCCTCCTGCTGTCAGTGCTCCACTAACTAACTGCAGGGACTGCTCCTGACGCTGTCACGGTGCTTGGTTTGTTTATAGCCCGGGCAGCCTCGGGGTAGCGCCGTGGAATGCAGCGAGGGCCCGACACTGACTTTTCGCCCAGTAACGCCACTGCAGAGCTCCCTCCCTGCTTTGAAAATGAGTTTCCTCTCTAGAGGAGCACGTCTGTGACATTCACCCTTGCGTGTAGCCCTTCGGGGGGAGAAAGGCTGTGCTCTGGGGGCAGCCTCCTCAGCAGGCTCTTGCTTCCTAGGTCTGTGCCCGGGTAAGAGCCGCTCTTTGTGCGTGGTGAGGGAGGGAAGGGCAAAGCAGTTGCTCTCTGGAAAAGCTTTGTACGTTACTTCCTTTTAAAAAAATAGAATCCCAGCACCTACAGGCACCAAGAAAACCGTCAAAACTTGATCTTTATGAATCTGCAAATGTCAACAGTGGTAAAAATCTGCTTAGCTTTGCCAGTGAGCAGTAGAATAAAACCCAGCGTTGCTCAGGAGGCTGTGGGTTACCAGACAGGACCGTGTACCAAAGGCTGTCCCAGCGCCTGTCGCGAAACCCTGCGGAGGAGGGGAGGTGGAGAACGGTTTGGCCAACGCCTGTGTTGGGTTTGGTGTGACGGGTGACCCGTGCTTCTTGTCCAAAGCAGTGCAAGCGGAGGGCCCGCGGGGGCAGCACGGGGGTGAAGATGTCTCGCCCCGAATCTCGCTATTCCTTTGATGTCCCAAACCCTTGCATCGACTTCGCGACTCTGAGCGATGATGACGTTCACAACGCGGACTCCTGGTTTGGTGAGTGGCTTCCAACGGCTCCGTTTGGTTTCTCTTTGGATGAGGCCTTGGCGTGATCCTTGGTTTGGGCCTGGCTTCCGTGCCAGTTGATTAGTCATGTTGTTAACTGCATCATTCATCGTGCATGGGGTTTGTTTTGGTCTCGTGTTTGAACTTTGATTGTCATCTCTGACTTGACAGATGACTTGAACACCATAATGATATTCTGGGGTATTGTTAAAAATTCCTGTGTGCAGTGAAAGTCTCTCTCTTCCCTTACAGACCAAAAAGCCAATCTGGAGAATGTCCCTCCTGCAGAAAACCTGGCAAAGGGCTCGCAGAACAGCCCTGCTTTTTCAAAGCCTGATATCATTCTGTCTTCTGTCACATCGCAAGAAATAACAATGAGTAAGCCGGCATGGTGTGGGGGGAGAGAATAAACCTTACCTGCTTTTCACTGGCAAAACAAGCAGGCCTCAGTCTGGCTTTTGTGGGACCGTCCTCGTGTGGTGCTCTCTCGCAAGGGCTCGTGTGGTTTCTTCACTTCAGCGTTGGGGTGTGCGTGTGTATAGACACGAGTTGACGTTGTCGCTGTTCTCAGGTGAAAGCCGTGGTGAAGAGGACGGTGGAGCAGAGTGTGTGCAGGCCAGTGCGGTTCCTCAGAACATCGTTGGGTCCCTGACGAGCTGGAGAGCTGCGGCTCCGGCGGAGGCCTCCCAGAGGTGAAACGCTGGCGCTCAGTGTGCCTGAAGGTTGATGAGGGTGTAACTAAGCCGGTCCTCGCTCCCAGGATCTGCAGCTCTGGCTGTTCCCGGGTCATCCTGTGGGTCTGGAGTTTTCAGGACAGAGGTGGTGCGTGGGGACAGCTGATCTGCTCGCTGGGCTGGAGGGACCATCTCTCGGGGTGGAAATGTAACGCAGTGCCTCGCGTGCTTGCCAAATGAGACTCGGTAGCGCTAGGAGCTCCTGGAATGTGAGGATATCTGAAACTGCAGCGGCTTATAAAGTTTCTTTGTTTATATCTGCCCGAGTTGGGCAGAACTCGTTCTTGATGTGAATGCAGAGGGCTCTGTGTGCTCGTATATACCAGAGAATATTCAGTTTATGGGTTGTTAAACTTAAATAATTCCGGCTGCATTGGGATAGCTGTGTTAAACGCACCATTTGCGTAGCGGGCACGTTGGGGTGAGGGGACGCACGGACGTAAAGAGTGTTAAACGGGTCGTGTGTCTTCTCAGCCCCGTGGGAAAGCTAACCTGCGCTTTCTGCTCTCCCCTAGAGCGGGCAGAAGACAGGCTGCAGCGCAGAGAAAAACGCAGCAACGCAAGCAGCCGGCTCGAGTCAAAGCGGAGAGAAATGCTAATGCCTTGGGGAATAAGGAGGAGGTTCCACCCCTGAAAAAAATGAGAATGTACGTCATCAAAGCCCTCCTGTTTGGGGCTGGGAAGGGGGGTGCCTGTGTTTCTTCGGAAAGAGTTTCCACCTGGCTGAGAGGGTTCTCGTGGGGAAGGTTGGGGTGGGGGGGTGGCCAAAACCTGGTTCTGGTTTCATAACCCGGAAGAAATGGCGGTAAGGCCCGAAGGAAACGCTCTGTCGGAGGTAGAGATGTGAATGAAATAAGCTTGGGTTTCTTAAGCTTCTTAATCCACACTAGTGTCTGTCAGCTAGCTTTAAATTTGGCTTAACTTGTCCATCAGGAAGTCATAAGCTATGAAAGAGTCTCAGCTAAAATATTTCTCAAATTAGCTTAACCACTAAGAGATCATGTGGTGGCAAGCTTGAGGTCAGGAAACTGAAGGAGCGATCTTTCAAACGCTGCTGTACCTCAGTGAGCTACCGAACACCGACCTCCTCGAAAAGCCTTAAGTTCCAAACCCTCAGTAATTCCTTTTCCCTTCTCCAGCCTTAGAGTACCAGGGAAAACCAGACGGTCTGTCCCTGGGCCCGGGGCGAGGTACGGCCAGGCTGGCGTACGTAGAGCTCACCAGGTGGCGGGGGGTGGTGCACGGTGGTGAGAGCAGGAGGTGGTCTTTCCCTTGGAGCACGGTGGATGGGGGTGGTTGGCCCTGACACCTTGTTCCTGCAGTTCTAGCGGCAGAGAGAAGCCGACAGAAGTACCCATTTTTTATGCCGAGCTCTCCCCGGGGAGAGGGAGAAGCAAGCTGACCGTGCCCTCCACGCCAACAATGTTGAAGTACGTACCTTCCTTGTGACTCCTCTTTGCTAATCACAGTTGATTTAGGTGACAGCCCTGGCCAGGGTGTTTTCAGCTTCAGCCTAGCATGTGGTGGTGTCATGTTTAGTAAACACCAGATCAAGGCAACAGTGTCAGGATGAAATGTACTTCAGCAGCTGGACCTGTGCAAAGGACCCGCTTTTGCTTTTAATTTGAGGAAAAGGTGGTTCTGGCTCACGGGATGACGTGTGCCCGCAGCGAAGGGGTGTGCAGGAGAGCAGTTAGCTGCAAGCGGTCGTGAACCAACAAAATCCAACCCCATCTTTTCTAAAGAGTGTGCCGCTATAGTGAGCGGTGCTTCTGCAGGGAAGCTGGAGATGAGCGTGTTCCTCCGCTCTGCGCTAGCGACTGGTGGAGCGGGAAGGCACGTCTCAGTCTTTAACGTGCTCCCACAGGAGGCCCCATGTTTCTGGGAAGCTGAAGAGCACGGAGGAGCAGGAGCTGGAAAAGATGGAGCAGTTGCAGCGGGAGGTTGTGGAGCTGCGGAAGAAGAACGAGGAGTCTCTGAAGGCAGCTATTGCTGGAGCAGGTGGGCTCTAGCTGCATTGCGAGTTGGAGCTGTGCTGGGCACAGCTGCAGGGTGCTGCAGAGAGCTGCAGAGGTACCCTTAAAACCAAACATTTCAGATCTTACACACTAATGTTAGGATTAGGTGGCTTTTAATGTAGATCAACCCCTAAACTGCCTGGAAACAGGTTGGTTTGGGTTTTGCCGTGTCTTGGAAGTTTATAGGGGAGTTCTCCAAAACCTGTTCAGGTTATTGGACATTAAATGCCTTTTTTTTTTTCCTTTTTCAAATCCTCCTCCCCACCCCAAAAGGCTTCCAGTCCTTACATGCTCTTTTTCTTTAGGGCAACCCGCGAAGAGACCTGTCGGTCACGTAACCAAGCCAGTTGACTTCCACTTCTGCACGGAGAACAGAGTTAAACAGCATGGGGAAAGCCAGCCCGGGAACGAGTACAAGGAGGTGGATTTCGCCGCGGTGCTGAGGAAGCATCCCCCTTCCCCGGTGAGCACCAGAGTGTTGCCAGCCGGCAGCTGCCTGGTTCTTGGCGTCGCCTTCTGCCTGCCCCGGGCTCCGCCTGACCCCCAAAGAGGGCTGCCGCAGGGGAGGCCGGCGGTGCGCAAACGCGACTGTTGGCTCGCCACGTTGCCCTTTAACGTCGCGTCTTCTGCTCGTGGCGCTTCCTAGTTTGATCGTAGGCTGGTTTGGGGCGGAAGGGACCTTAACAATCATCTGGTCCAACCCCCAGCTCTTCCACTCCGTACGGTTTCCCGCTGTGACTAGCTTGTGTTAATGCTCCACATCGGACATAAGCCTCATCTCCAGTACGGAGAAGGGACCGATGCTGTGCATCGGTGGGGAAAGGCGACGTCATCGAAGCGTCCAGGGCCACGTGGCCGTAACGACTCTCATTTCTTGTCCTCAGGTGCGAATGCCGAAGGGACCCACTATCCCCAAACCTTTCAACCTCTCCCAGGGGAACAAAAGAAAACTTGAAGAAAGCACGTCAGAATACGTGTCCCTTGCTGAGCAGGTGGAAGCGTTCCAAAAACGCACCCCCTCCCGTTACCACTTGAGGAGCAGGAAATCGGATGAAGGTGAGCGGTTCTGGCTATGGCCAGCCAGGAGGTTGGTCCGCAGGGGCGGTGGCAGAGCAAGGAAGATGCTTTGACTGCTCTGCTGGCTGCCTTGCTGCTCACTGCCGGTCTGTGACTTAAATTTATAGGCCCAGTTCCAAGAAAAGTGGTGAAGGCTCGGCTCACACACCCGAAAACACCGGTGCTCCTGACCAAGCAGCGCTTTAGAGCTGCCACCTGCAAAACTGCAGCAGAGTTGGAGGAGGAGGAAGTGCAGAAAATTCAACAGTGAGTGAAGTTTATTCTAGTCCTCGGGGAGATTTGTACCGCGCTGGAAATAGCTTTCAGATGCCAAAGCATCACTTCTCAGGAATACCCTTTTTGTGTAAAAGAACGAGCGGCATAAAACCGTTGAGATTCCTCTAGCTTGTGCGTAATCCTGTGGCGCTGATTGTAGGGATGTGAAAAGGAACCTGTTGGTTTTGCAGGAAGGGCTCTTAGGAGAGCTGCTCTTGGGTCGGGCACAGCTTACGATGAGTAAAGCAAGGCCGGCGTGGCGGTACAGCCTGCGGGCGCTTCAGCGCTCTCCTGGAGCAAAGGCTGTTGGAAATCCAAAAACGGTCCCGAAGGTTTTCCTGAGCACCTTGCTGTCCCAAAAGCAAAGGGGGAGTTGCTGACTAGAGGTGTCCGCCATGCAAGGGGGGTGTGTGGCACGACTGCTCCCGTACCCGACCGTCGCTCTTTGCTGTGCGAGGAGCCACTTGCTAGAAGCTGCATCTCGCCCCACGCGCCCTATTGGTGACTGTCTCCGTCTTCCCTGTGCAGGTACAAATTCAAAGCCCGAGAACTCGATCACAAAATCTTTGAGGGGGGGCCGCTCCTGCCCAAGAAACCCCCTGTGAAGGAGCTCACGCAACCCATTGGCTTCGAGTTGGAAATAGAAAAGAGGATTCAGGAGCGTGAGAGTAAGAAGCAGCAAGAGGAAGAGCACTTTGAATTCCATTCCAGGCCGTGTCCAACGAAAATCCTGGAGGACGTTGTGGTAAGAATATAATCCTGGTTTAGTGATACCCAGAGGTGGGAATTGGGGCTGGGGGGGCAGTCAGCTTCCACGTGGCCGTAGCTACATCCATGGTGTTTTTAATCTTCAGTAAACGCTGTCGGTCATCGGGTGGGAGCTGCCGGGGGTCCCTCCGGTGCCACCTTGGGTTGTCGCTCTGCAGCTGTTTCTGGGCGCTGGGGCTCGGGTAACTCCTTACTGGCTCTCCTGAACAGGGTGTTCCGGAGAAGAAAGCGCTGCCTGTCACAGTCCCCAAGTCCCCAGCCTTCACCTTGAGGAGCAGAACCCGAGCGCCTGGCAGGGATGAGGAGAAGGTAAGGGTTGTGAACGGGCTGTAGCCAGACCTTCTGGTCCCACCACAGGGGCTGCCTTGGCCGGCCTGCCCTTCTTCTGCCAGCTGGGTGCGATGGTCTGGTGTGGTTAACCCCTGCCCTCCTGCTGGGCAGTTCCTCCTGTGCTCATCTTCCTCCCCACCATTCCCTTCCAACGATCTGGTTGCTGCCACTCATTTTACAGAAACGGAATTTTCATACAAAATGAAGTAACTTTGGTTTAGACACGAGGGCACTGATGAGGTTTCTGGGCTGTTGCTGCCCTGGATGAGTAAAGAAAACTGCTCGGATGTCTACGGGACGTTGCTCTTCCCTGTTGCGTTGTTGAGGAGGGCAGGTGGTGCCCAGGACCTTTCTTCTCCCTGCAGCCCCTCTAGATCCCTGGAGGGGGGGGAGCAGGATTTGGAATGCGTCACGTCCTCCCTCCTTCCCCTCTGGCGAAGGGGACGCTAGAGAATTACAGCCTAGTTGGGATGAGTGCTAGAACGGAGAGTGGTTTGGGAAGAGGAGGAACTCGCCTGTGGCTCAGGGTGCCTGTAAATTGGTACTTTCTGGATTACCAATTTTTGCAGTGCCCGGAGCGTTTGCTTGACGCTGTTGTGACCCTTATTAAAGGAGCCCTAGTGTCGTGGCTGGCTTTGGCAGGAGCTGTAGTCTTTCTCCGAAAACCTGGTGCTGCGGCAGACCCTAACACTAAGGTTCCTTTAGGAGAAAGAGGCGGTCCCTGTCATCAAGGCGAACCCTATGCCCCACTACGGAGTGCCCTTCAAACCCAAGATGCCGGAGCAGCGGCACGTGGAAGTCTGCCCCTTCTCTTTCGACGCTCGTGACAGAGAGCGGCAAATACAGAAAGAGAAAAAAATAGAAGAGCTGCAGAAGGAGGAGGTAAGGGCTAAAGGCTGCCTTGGATTCCCCTCCAAAGGGTCGGGCAGGACCTGCCTCCTCCTGTTGGCTGTTAAACTGCTGGAGCTTTGAGGAAAGGGCGGGAAATATTTCCAGCTGTTTCTTTCAGGTGCCCAAGTTCAAAGCGCTCCCTCTGCCTTACTTTGACCACGTGAAGCTGCCAGAAAAAAAGGTCAAAACCCCAACTCAGCCTGAGCCCTTCAACCTGCAGATCGACGAGCGGGGAGCTGCCAAGCTCCAGAGCTGGAAGCAGCAGGTAGGGTGGGAAGGAGAACGGGTACGACGGGGCTTCGAGCGGCTCCGTGGAGTTGTGGTCGCCTTCAGAGTGTCCTGCTTGAGTTGAGTCAGGGTTGGCGTTTGAGCAATGAATGGTCCTGTCCTTGGCCTGAGGCTTGTGCAGTGGGGTAAGGATTGGTGGAGTGAGGTGGGTTTTGTCTTCCTCTCTGGTGAGTGGTGGGATTTACCACAGCAGCACGGACAGCTGTGGGGTGTCTTCTGAGCTGCAGCTATGTGCAGCTGGATCCCCTTGCTGACCCTCTCTGTGCTTGGGGATTTAGTGACATAGAAATAATCTGCAGCTTTTCTCATGTGGAGTCTGCAGTGGGCACCTGGAAGGTTTTTCAGGCTATTTTTGGTCAGAGCGACTGGCAACTGATACAACTCTTTGGCTTTAATATAATATTCTCTGCAAATGATTTGATCTGAGTCAGCCTGGCTCTTCCAGAGCTGGCAGTGCTCCAGTCCGGGCGGGGGGAGATGGTCTTTTTGCTGTGCCTGGCACTTGATGGGCTCTTTTTCCCCTTGCAGCTTAAAGAAGACTTGAAAAGGCAGAAAGAGGCAGCGTGTTTCAAAGCTCGTCCCAACACCGTGGTGTACCAGGAGCCTTTTGTGCCTAAAAAGGAGAGCAAGCTGCTATCAGGTGGAGCTACAAGTACTTGGAGTTACAAGTACAGGCTTGGCTGATAACCCAGGCAATTAGGAGATGTTCAGACTGGCTGTGGCCTCTGTCAGCCCGGCCAGCACTGCCTTGCCCTTAACTAATTCCCGAACAGCTCGTGTCCCCAGGGGGTGGGGAGTCCCCTCTGCCCTGCCACCCTCTCCTGCACTAACATGGCCGCTGTATTTACCAGCTCTGCTCCAACTGGCAGACGGTGGGTGTGCGCTAGCTCGGGACTGGGGGAACGGCGTGTGAGGAGCTCCCTGGAGAGACAGCCGGCGTTTCTGCAGCGGCCGTCGCGCTCTTCCTCCCCTTTCCGATGAGATGGGGTGCACTACACCTACGTCTTGGGGTAGACTAGGCTTTGTTAGGGTTTCAGCTTGTTTGTACTAACAACTGTGTGCTTGCTCCCCGCTATGGGAACGCTGTGACGGGGTAACATCTGCGTTAACGCCGCTCACGCTCGCGTTTGGGCGTAAGGCGGTCCCTTTTCCTGGAGCCTGGAGGTATCTGCTACCCCCCTTGCCCAGGCAAAGCGCTCCAGAGGGAGGCTTCTGTTTGACACTAGCACTGCTTTGCTTCGCCTGACTGTCTTTGCACCAACGTTATCTCCTCTATTTCCGAACTTAGAGAGCCTTTCTGGTTCCGTAGTTCCTGACAGCTTTGAGCTGGCGACAGAGAAAAGAGCGAAAGAGCGGCAAGAGTTTGAAAAGCGCTTGGCCGATGTGGAAGCCATGAGGGAGAGGCATCAAGAGGAGGTCCGACAGCAGCAAGAGGAGCGTGAAAAGGAAGAAGTAGCAAAGCTGAGGCAGGAGCTGGTGAGTGAGCTGTTGGCTGTGGAGTAACCCGAAGGGGTGGGCGAGCTCCTGTCGGCGTCGACCTGCGTTAGGGCTGTCTCGTCCCTTTTCCCTGTTGCAAACTGACTCCTCGTTAACTTTACAACTTAAAAAAAAGGGCAGCTCTGCTGAGGTGGCTGACTTTTGGAGCTCTACCCGGGCAGAAGGGGCTCTGTAAGACCCCCAGCCCCGCGGCGTGCCGTGGCTGGCTCCGGTGCCCCGGGCAGGGTGGCAGTCCCGCAGGCAGA